TTGTCCGCACTGGCGGCTGCCTCAATCTGCTTCTCGGGGCCCAAGGCGGCGATTTTATCTCCCTCGAGGCCGAGCGCCGTCTTCCTGGACGCAGCAGGACATGATCTTCCTGCCCGAGCAACGCCAAACAGGTGGGCGAGCAGGCCATCGGCAGCACCCTCCGGCGGCGCGCCCAGGGGGGGAGGTGCAGGAGGCGGGCCTGCTCAGAAGGCTCGGCCGGCCCCCGGGGTAGAGGAGGCGGGCCGGCTCAGGAGGCCCAGCCGGCCCCCGCGGGGTGGAGGAGGCGGGCCTGCTCAGAAGGCCCAGCCGGCCCCCCGGCCCTCGCAAGAGCTCTTCAGCACTCGCGGCGGCCACGGGGGGCCTCTGACAGAGGGCTGGGGGGCCCCCCCACCAGCGCGAACACTTCGACGGGGGGAACGCCTGGTCGTGCTGAAGGATGGGGGGAACTGGCAAAGGGGGTGGGAACATCGACCCAGAGCCAGCGATCCGTCAACAGTGGATCGGCGATGGCCCCCCGATGGCGAATCCGCAACTTCCTGAGCGGGTCGGGCTATCGGGCCCATGTCGGCGACCAGTGGGCGATTGAGGAACGATGCGTCCCACTCTCAGCCCATCCCCACCCTAACGTTAGGTCGGGTATGTCCTCCTACAGGCGGATTTGGGAAGAAAAACCAGTAATCCGCCGACCCTGTCGGCGTGTGCGAGGGGTTTGCCTGTGCGAGTCGTCGTCACCGTCAAGCGTCGTCTGCGTCGTCCCCTTTCCCTGCACCCTCCCCAAGCCTGTCAGAGAGAGAGAGAAAGAGAGAAACAAAAAAAAAAAAGCCTCGCAGTGTCGTAATCGAATCGAAGGGAAGCCTCTTCCCTTTGATTCCCTCCCCGTCGGGGAAGGATCCCGGGGGGGTCGCCACCAGATACGCTTTCCCCCCTGAGGTCAGATACGCATCCCCTCTGGGGGTCCTGGGGCAAAATACGTAGCACCTCGCAGATGCGGATAAGAGTGAGGGGGCTGTGGGGACGTCGGCAGTTTGCTAGACTCTGGAGAAGCCCGCCGCAGGCGCCAAAGTTTCACAATTTATGCAACGAGCCCGCCGCAAACGCCAATGTTTTCGTTAAACCAATGTGGGTAGGCCGCGGGTGGGTCGCGAATGGGTCGCAAATGGGTCGCGAGTGGGTCGCTGTTGGATCGCGGGTGCAGAAGGCAGAATATCCGCCCCATAATAATCACCCCGAGAAGCGAAGCCGCTTAGTAAACGCACACAAGGAAATGAATCGAACAGGGCAGGGCTGTTTAGTCAACGCCCAGGGCCGTTTAGTAAACGTCAATTGTCGGGTCTGGGTGGTTTTTCCTTCCTTGAGCGTGGGTCGCGGGGTGCGTCGCGGGTGGGTCGCGGGGTGGGTCGCGGGTGGGTCGCGGGTGGGTCGCAGATGGGTCGCGGGGTGGGTCGCGGGTGGGTCGCGGGGTGGGTCGCGGGTGGGTCGCGAGTGGGTCGCGGGTGGGTCGCGGATGGGTCGCGGATGGGTCGCGGATGGGTCGCGGGTGGGTCGCGGGGTGGGTCGCGGGTGGGTCGCGGGGTGGGTCGCGGGTGGGTCGCGGGGTGGGTCGCAGGTGGTTCGCGGGGTGGGTCGCGGGTAGGTCGCTGGTGTGTCGCGGGGTGGGTCGCGGATGGGTCACGGGGTGGGTCACGGGGTGGGTCGCGGGTGGGTCGCGGGTGGGACGACCACAATAAACAACAACAACAACAACAACAACAACCACAACCATAACCACAACAACCACAACAACAACAAGAACAACAACAACAACAACAACAACAACAACAACATCACAACCAACAACAATGACGACGACGAGGACGACAACAACAACAATCATTCTAAGACTGTTCGCTCCGATCTGCTCATTTGCTAATCAATCGTATATCCCAAACCCTCGGTACCCGCCCTCGTCGTCTTCGATCGTACCCCCTTGGGGGTATATCTTCCTGACTTGCCACGTGTATTCAGCGCAGCCCCTAAAACAAGGGAAGAGAGGACGGGTGGAAGGGGGAGGGAGAAGAATGGAGCACGGGAGGAATCAGCAGGAGGGGGCAAGTAGCACAAAACAAATGGTAGAACCAGACGGGCAGATCGGGTGGGCAGACTCATAGCGGGCAGGTCGGGGAGGCGGGCCCAGGCGACGAGGTCGAACAGGCGGGTTGCTGAAGCGTGGGTCCTGCATGAATCGCGCGGGAGTCTCGAGCGTTAGCGCGATTCCCAAGTAAATCGTAAGAAAAGGGCGCGTGGGCCACGAAAGGCATACAATCCGAGGCCACAGAGGGCAGCGACGAGGCGCTGAGGGCAGCACCGGGGCCACGAAGGGCAGCGAGGCGAGGGGGCCACAAAGGGAGACAGCGGGGCCACGAAGGGCATGCGTATGGGGCCACGACGGGCGCGAGCGAGCGGGGGCCACGAAGGGCATTCGTATACGGGGCCACAGAGGGCGACAGCGGGGCCACTGAGGGCAGCAAAGGGGCCACGAAGGGCAGCGAGGGCGCCACGAAGGGCGACAACGGGGCCACGAAGGGCATGCATATGGGGCCACGACGGGCGCGAGCGAGCGGGGCCACGAAGGGCATTCGTATACGGGGCCACAAAGGGCGACAGCGGGGCCACAAAGGGCAGCGACGGAGCCACCGAGGGCAGCAACGCAGCCACGGAGGGCAGCGAGCGAGGGCGACCGCGGAACCAGTGCGGGCAGCGATGGGCATATCGAAGGCGGGCGAAGGGCAGCGAGCGGCGACGGCAGTCATCAACGAGCTGGTCGGGCGGGCAGGCCCCGACGGGCAGGTCGATCGGGAGGGTCGTTGAAGCGTGAGTCCTGCTTGAACCGCCAGGCAACATGTAGCGGGAGCGCGATCACTGAGTGTCGAGGACCGGCATCAGAATAGATTGTGAGGAAAAATCAAGCGAAGCTGTTCGGTGGTAAGTTGCGAAGAAGTGCCAAGCGAGAACGCGATTCTGCAATACCTTGTCATCATGAAGTATCAAGCGGGAGCCGGGATTCGGTGGAAAATTGCCAGGAAGTCCCAAGCGAGAGCAATATTCTTGAATCCATTGTGAAGTATCAGGCGGGAGCCATTGTTGTTGTAAACAAAGGGCCAACGACACAGATTGAGCCTCAAGACCTTCCCTGATAAAAAAACAGGGTGCGAGCCCCGGGAGGGGCACTTCAATCGAAAAAACAAAAATGTGAACTGGGTGGGGGGTACTTACAATAATTATTCATCAGAAATGAGACTTCAACAACAATAACAACAATAATAATAACAACAATAACAGCAACAGCAGCAGCAACAACAGCAGCAACAGCAACAGCAACAACAACAGCAGCATCAACAACAACAACACAAACACCAACCACAACAACACCACCACCAACAACAGCACCAACACCAACAACACAACCACAACCACCAACAGCAACAGCAACAGCAACAGCAACAGCAACAGCAACAGCAACAGCAACAACAACAACAACAACAACAACACTAACAACACCAACAACAACAGCATCAACAGCAACAACGCAACAAGCAGAATTCTCACCACGAATCCCCTATTCAGCCACGCACCCAGGGAGTTCGGCCCCCTCACTCTGACCAGAGCACGACATGCGTGTCCCAAGAAGCACCCGAGACGGTCCGAGAGGGCCCCCTATCGACAAACGATCGGTCCAAAACGCCTTCGCGCTCCCAGACTGCCCAAGAGACCTCCAAGACACCCTAGCAGGACTCCAAAGGCACTCCCGAAAGGGCCCCAAGGAACACAAAACCTTGATGTTCCAAAGGTTTTTGACAGGAATTGAGCGTTCTCGCCCTTTCCGCTTCTCGCCGCTCCAAGACGGCCGGAGATGCGCTCAGGATCGTCCGAGGACGGCCTGCAAGGCTTCCAAGAGCACTCCAAAACATCCCAAGAGAACCCCACGACAGCCCAAAACGCCTCCAAGACGGTCCAAAAGGCCCCCAAGACGGCTCCAAGAGCGTGCCTTGACGGGGAACCCGAACGGACATTTCGAGCCCTCGGCTCCGAGAAGCTCCCAGGAGGCCCCAGGAGGTTCCCAAGAGGTCCCAAGAAGTCCGCGAGGGGCCTCGACAAAACCCGAGAAGGCCCCTAAGAGGCCTCCAGGAGGCTCCCAAGAGATCCCCATATTCCTCCCCAGAGGCCCACGAAAGCCTTCCAAAGAGACCCCAAGAAGCATCCCTCAGGACTCGTTCCCGCGTCAGCGTCGTCGTCGTCGTCGCCGTCGCCACCACCGCCGTCGTCGGCGACGTCCCCCTTCAGGGTCGGCGACACCCGCCGCGAGGCCTTCGCAATAAGCAAACCATGCTCAAAACTGAATAAGAAAAAAAAACTCGTACCCATAATTTGATTTGTTCGACTATCTTTGAATATTCCTCCTGTAGGGGAACATGCCCGACTTAACCCTAACGCTGCCCCTCAGGGGGGAGGAGGAGGAGGAGGAGGAGGAGGAGGAGGAGGAGGAGGAGGAGGAGGAGGAGGAGGAGGAGGAGCAGCAGCATTAGCAGCAGCAGCAGCAGGTGGAGAAGGAGGGGGGGGAGGGAAGGAGGAGGAGGGGAGGAGGAGGAGGAGGAGGTGGAGGAGGAGGAGGAGGAGGAGGAGAAGGAGGATCCTCGAGGAGGAGGAGGAAGAGGAGGAGGAAGAGGAGGAGGAAGAGGAGGAGGAAGAGGAGGAGGAGGAAGAGGAGGAAGGAGGAGGAGGAAGAGGAGGAGGAGGAGGAGGAGGGGGAGGAGAAAGGGGAGGAGGACGCGAACGACCGTGTGAGGTACGACCGAATTCGACGGAAAAACAAACACAACAAACGAATTGCCAGGCGCCCTAGGATCCAAAAAGGAGGTCCTCATCGAGGAGGAGTAGGAGGAGGAGGAGGAAAAGGAGGAGGAGGAGGAAGCGGAGGAGGAGGAGGAGGAGCAGGAGGAGGAGGAGGAGGAGGAGGAGGAAGGGGAGGAACGGAAGGAGGAAGAAAGCGAGCGCCCGACATTTCTGATCACCGAGGGCGTCACCCACGGCCTTTCAGCACCCCAGCGCTCGCCGCGGCGGGCTCCATCGATCTGCGCCGCCTATACATATCGCAGGCGCCTGGGTGCACTCTTTACCCGCTGGCCCCCCTCTGTGGGCCCATGGGTGTGCGATGTGTGCTGCCATCTCGGAGCGACTCGGCGCCGTCTCGGTGGGAGGCCGTGTTCTGCGCCGCCGGGATATGTCCATATCAACTGCCGCGGGGTCGTGTCCCAGGGATTCGGGGAGCGGTGGACATGGATACCTGCCCGCCCATGCCGGCTGGCAGATATCCACATCCACCACTCCTCGATATCTCCGGGACACGACTCCGAAGCAGTGGATGTGGACAGATTCTGGCGGTGGATGTTTTTTTTAAAGGCCAATCTACTTGCATGGAGGGGCGAAGGGGTGCGGGGCGAGATGCGGCAAGGACAATTAACTTCAATTGAGCTGGGACTCACTTGCACGCCTGTTCGGCCCAGCGCTGTGTGAGAAGGTGGCAGAGGGGGGGGGCAAGGGGGAGATACTCTGCGATGCCCTGACTATGTCAAAACGGAGCCCCCGGAAGTCCGCCGACCCCTTGTGGGTCTCTAGGCGTGTGAGATAGTTCCCCCCCATAATCCCCCCCCAGGGACCCGAAACCGGAGATTCGACCCCCCCCCCCCCCCCTCGCCTACCACGACCCCTCGCCGAACGCGCCAAGGGGGAGCAAAGGGCCCAAAAACGGGCCTAGAGCGCACCAGGGGTCTCCGAGACGATCCAAGAAGGCCTTGAGTAGCCAAACGAGCGGCCAAGACGACCACGATGACTCCAAGACAAGCAACGAGACCTCCAAAACGGCCCAAGAGGCCTCCAAGATGCGTCCCAAGAGGGTCCCTAGACGCAAACATGGGCCCATTCCCTTCGTAAAACATACAATTTTCACAAATTCGCCTTATGGGCTTTCCGATGCTCCCAGACGGCCCAAGAGGCCCCCAATACCGCCCCAAGACGGCCCAAGAAGCCTCCAAGAGGGCCACAAGATAGCCCAAGAGGGCCCCAAGACGGCCCAACAGGCGTCAAAGACGGCCCCAGAGGGCCCCGAAGACGGCCCCCAAAACGCTCCAGGAGTGGCCTCCCAAAGAGCTCAGTATGGTCCCACACGGTCCAAGTGCGATCAAAGACACCCAAGATGGCCTCCAGACGGCCCAAGATGCCCCCAAGAGGCTCCAAGAGGCATCCAAGATGCGCCCCAAGAGGGCCTCTAGACGCAAAAATTTGCCCGCTCCCATCGTAAAACGTACATGTTTCACAAATTCGCCTTTTGGGCTTTCCGACGCTCCCAGACGGCCCAAGAGGCCCCCGAGACGGCCCAAAGAACCTCCAAGAGGGTCCCAAGACAGCCCAAGAGGGCCCCGAGACGGCTCAAGATGCGCCGAAGACGGCCCAAGACAGCCCCGAAGACGCCCCCAAGAGCGCTCCAGGAGCGCTCCAAGTGCTTCCAAGAGAGCTCAACATGGTCCCAGACGGTCCAAGAGCGATCGGAGACACCTGAGATGGCCTCCAGATGGCCCAAGGCGCCCCCGGAGGCCTCCACGATACGTCCCAAGAGGGTCCCTAGACGCAGAGATTTGATCATTTCCTTTGTACAACATATGTGTCAGAAATTCGCCTCTTGGGCTTTCCGACGCTCCAAAACGGCCCAAGAGGCCCCGAAAACCGCCCCAAGACGGCCCAAGAGGCCCCCAAAACGGCCCCACGACGGCCCAAGATGGCCCGAGACGGCCCAAGAGGTCCCCAAGACGGCCCAGGAAGGCTCCAAGACGGCACCAAAAGGGGCCTAAGAGGACAACCGAAAATTGAAAAATCTAGCTTTCCGCCCCCACGAGCCCCCAAGAATGCCCCAAGAGGCCGCCAGAGGCCTCCAAGAGGCCGCCAAGACGCCCCAAGGAGCCCCCAAGAGGCCCCCAGGAGGCCCCCCAAAGACCCCCAGACGCTTCCGTATTGCGAGCCGTGAAGCCAACTGCAATGCACTCCGCGCATACAGCCTTACTCTTCCTCGTGAAGTGCTCACTCTCTTGCTCAGCGCTAATGTGCTGCTGCCGCGCGAACTGTTCCGTGCGCGCTGCGAACGTCAACAGCCTCTTCACCCGTTTCGACTCGTCTGCCACATCTTTCGCGGCGATGCATCGCTGATCACAGTTTCCGCACACCACTTTTGCTCCTTTCGTCTTCCGGTGGCCCTCCACTTGGCTGCGGGTCGAAAGGCCGACCTCCCAGGAGGACACCCCGCACCCGGGTGCACAGCACGCAAGGCGCTCGCAAAACACGCCCCATACCACCGGCATCACGCAAACATTTGGACCCCCTACGTATCTGCCACTACCCGCGCGCGACATCGCACCCTCACACAAGACGCCGCTGGCCTCGCAACGCTCACAGAAGGGGTCGGCGGATGTGGCGCAAGCCTGTAGAATCCTGAAGATTTCTCCGGGATCAGCTCTCCTCACCCTGAGTCGTTGTTGGACGACCGAAATGGGGACGGAAAGAATGGGCACAATGCCTAACAACAAATGTTGTCGCAAACCAACAGCGGCCGCTGTTGGGCAGGCGGCCTTCTGTCTCGAATGGACACAGGCCGCGGCGGCGCGGACAGCGAGTCCTGTTCCAAATGAATAGGAACTGCTGCTGGGCATCGTACCCATTCTTTCCGTACCCGTTTCGGGCGTCCAGATCGTTTTCTCACGGTCCTGAGGCCCGGCGAGGGCCCCCGCAGAGCGCAGACGATTTGTTCGACACGAGCAGGTCTGCCCAGAGATCCGACGTCGTCACTTTTGCAACACGGGGTCCCCCTCCTCCTCCTCCTGCTCCTCCTCCTCCTCCTCCTCCTCCTCCTTCTCCTCTCGACCAGCGTTGCGTCCTGAACCGTTTTGATTGACGGTCCTGCGGCCCAGCGAGGGCCTCCCGAGCCCGAAACCTGTGGAAAACCTCCATCTTGAATCTTTCCATGCGCTAGGAGGAGGAGGAGGAGGAGGAGGAGGAGGAGGAGGAGGAGGAGGAGGAGGAGGCACAGACAGGGCTGAGCTGGACCTCTGGGTGCGGGGGGGGCCTTCTGGACCGTCTCTGGGCCGCCGCCGAGGACGTCTGAGGCTCTCGGCGCTCTCCGCCGAGAGCCCTCTCGCGAAGCGATCCTCGGTGGCACGTGTCGGGGATCTGCTGACCTGGGTCAACCCAGAACCGGGCCAGTCAGGCTCTGCAGGATCCTGCAAGCTCTTGCAGGATCCTGCACCCACGCCCCGGTCAAGGCGACCCTGGACCTGCAGGATCCTGCAGGATCCGGCGCTCTGACTGACCCCCGGTTGTAAAGGGGCCCATGGACACACACGAATAAATACATACAAATAACAGGATTCCCCATCTTTCCCCATATTTTCTGGGTTTTCGTCGTCCCCCCCTTTTCCCATACTTCCCTGGGAGTCGGCGATTAACTGTGTCTGTGTGTTTCTTTCCCTCCTGAGTTTGCCCTGACCCCCGCCTCTTGCGCCCCGATCGGTGGCGCATTGGGTGGGCGCTCCGGGCCGCGGGGTGTTGCCGCAGGGGCTGTGGGCAGCGAGGGGCGCCAGCTCGCCTCGCGCCTCCGCAGCGAGGCGAGGGGGCGCGGCGCGCGGCCGTGGAGAGTGGGAGGAGGAGGAGGAGGAGGAAGCTTTTTCATCCCGGGTCATTTTCTTGACGGCCCCGAGGCCCTTTCAAGGGCTTCTGGTGCCCGAAAATAGCGAAAAACCTCCCGTCGTGATTTGTTCACAACGCGTAAAGGAGGAGGAGAAACAGGAGGAGGAGGAGGAGGAGGAGGAGGAGGAGGAGGAGGAGGAGGAGGAGGAGGAGGCGGGGGGGGATGAGAGGGACGAAGAGCACTCCAAAAGGCCACTGGACATCCTTCCCCAGCCATGGACCCCTTCAATGCCCTTCTCCTCCCCCTCTCCCGCTCTGCCTCTTCCTCTTGCAACTGCCCCTGCTCCTGCTCCTGCTCCTGCTCCTCCTTTTCCTCCTCCTCCTTTTGCTTCTCCTCCTCCTCCTCTTCCTCCTCCTCTTCCTCCTCCCTCCCCCGTCTAGATTGACCACGCCGACAGTGTCACCCCAAGGGATCCGCCTAATTTTGGAAGCTCCGCGCGAAAGTCTGGGATCGGCGCCTTCGGCGCTGCCACTGGCGCGCTCCGCGGTCCAGGGAAGGCGGTCCAAGCACCGACCCCAGAACTCCGCGCGGATCTCCGAAAGTTCATGCTTAGGCAGTGTTCTCTGACGCCGATCCCTCCTCCTCCCCCCCCCCCTCCTCATCCTTTCTCCTCCTCCTTTTCCTCCTTCTCCTTTTCCTCCTCCTCCTCCTCCTCTCCTCCTTCCTCCTCCTCCTCCTCCTCCTCCTCCTCCTCCTCCTCCTCCTCCTCCTCTTGCGAAATTCCATCGGACGCCCCTGACAGAGTAGGATGTCGGGGAGCTGGCGTAGATGGCCGCAGGCTATGACATAAAACCAACCTAGCACCCAGCAGGGGCGCGGGGCGCGGTTCAAAAAACACGCGATGGAACAAAAAGCACCGTGCGCCATGCTTGTTGCAGGGAGATGCCGACCCAGCGGTCGGCTGCCGGGGGCGGTCCGGGGAGCGGCCTAGCAAAGGCCCTCCCTGAGGCCAGGAGGAATACACAATGGACGTGGGTGAATCCATTCCGCTTGCCTGCCATCTGGGGGGGGGGATGGGGTACTCCTACACCCATGGGGGTAAGCCCCGAGGAAGAAGAAAGGTCTGGGTTCAGGGGTTCTTTCTCCTGGGGGGTAATCCCCCAGGAATGAAAATTAATACAAACAAAAGTGTGCAACAGCATCCCGGAGGTCGCAGCATTTATGAAGGAAACTCACATGCTCGACCATGGACCATCTGTTACCGATCTCCGCAACATGCGAGATTGACCCTCGGCAAGAATGACCTTAGGTGCGCGGCCTAGGGTGGGGGCCCTTCGGGGACACCACCAGGCGCGCATGCCGATGCGAACTCATCGCATTCAGTGACCAGGGGGGGCGCGTGGGGCCCGCACCACCAAAGGTCACTCTGGCGAAAGGTCACTCTTACGTGTAGCAAACCATCGCTCCTGGGCAGTCTTCACCAATCTTCGGCGGTCTTCGGGCAGTCTTCGGCGGTCTTCCGAGGGTATCTGGCGGTTTGTGACAGCGGTCTTCGGCGCGAAAGCTGGATGGTTAAGTTCAACACCAAGGGGTCCATGATCGAACACCAAAAAAACAATCCCAGCAGCCCTCTGGGCGTACGTGGTCTAAGGCGGTGTCTCTTCCAGTCCCTTTCTTCCTCTTCGGTGTGGGGTTTATCACTGTTCCTTATGAATATACACCCGATATTTCAGGCGGCCACCAGCCAACCAGGAACAATGAGGACCCCATGAGGGCACCCCCCACCATCCCTCTTAAAACGCAATATAAAATATACGTTGGGGCAAAGTCTGGAATCACTTTCGTGAAGCCCGCGAACACCTTGTTTGTTTGTGTGGCAGGGACGGCGGTGGTGTCAGCATATGACCTGCTACACAATGCACTTCGCGGCTAAATCTTGATCGTGCGCGGCCACCCCGCAATCACTGTCAAGTGGTGGCGTGTGGCCTGCTGTGCGCAGGCCCACCCGGCACAACGATGGGCATTGGTCTTGGACATGGATGTTGGAGGCCGACACGTGTCCCGATGTGCGCTGTCACGTGCGCAGGCACACATGGCACACTCTGCGCGTGCCCCGGACGTGGCGCACCTGGCGCGGCTGGAGTATGCGGCACACCTGGGGCACGCGGGCGCACGTGGCGCATCCAGCGCACCAGGCGTGCCTGGCACGCTCGAACCCCAGGGGTGCCTGGCGCGCGTGGCGCGCCTGGCACGCGTGGCGCACCTCGCCCCAGCGTCGCGCACATAGACTCGGTGTTGGTTCCCAGTAACTGTCGATCCAACACACGACCGCTGAACATGCAGAGCCTCGGGTGCTACCTCTGTGTTGGGAGGGCGGGTGGGAGTGAGCTAGACGGCTTGCTATCTAAGGGGTGTGTTGACCCCTCGCCTTGCCCCTTATCCTGGACCTGGACGGGGCGCTCCGCGAGGTGTTGGAGCGTCCAAGATGGTTCCAAAATGGCGCCAGGTTCCTCAATATGGTTCCCAAAATGATCCGAGAAGCCTCAAGACCGCTCCAAGAGAGACGTGTCCAAGTGGCCCGAAGGCTCCCCCAAAAGGTCCCCAATATGACACAATCCTTTCAAAACCTTGGGCACATCAGTGGTCGATGGCCTTTTTTCGCCTTTTGGGTTTCGATGTGTTTTGCTGTTTTTCTTTTGGTTGCCTTCGATGTCCTGCTCCCCTTTTCGATTTCCATGGCCTTCCGAAGCCTCCAGGTGGCTCCAAGATTGCCCAAGAGGGTCCCAAAAGGGGCCCAAGAGAGACCCAAAACGGCAACCCAAGGCGACCAAGAGCGCTCCAAGAGTGCCCCTCAAGCGATTGCAGGCGCAATACAAGGGCAAGGCTGCTTGAACCCCCCATGTTTGATCGATGTCCTCCAAGATGGCCCCAAGAGGCGCCCAGGGGACCCCAAGAGGCCCCGAACAAAAAAAAGGTCCCCACTAGGCTCCCAATAGACCCCCAAGACGCCACAGAACGCTCCCCCTGGAGTACCCAGGACGCCCCAGGAGGCCCCTGAGACCGCCAAGGGGCCCCCGAGACGCCTCAACAGGCCTCCAATAAGATCTCAAGAGACATCCGAAGAGACTCCGAAAAGCCTCTCGCCCTTCTGCTTGCACTTTTCCTTCTTCGTCCTTGGCCTCGTCGTCTCAACTCCCCTGGGCGTCGTCGGTTTGGGATGGACTGGTGGGGAGACTTTTATGTTCGCAAACGCGCCGGGATGCCGGGCGCCGTCAAGAAACGCGGATGACTAGCAACGACCTAAATTCCGCGGCAAGAAGAGGGAAGGAACACAAGCGGAGAAAGAAACAGAAGCGAAGAAAGAGCACACAGGAGGCGAGCCACGCTGCGGCCCAGGAGACGCGGTAGACCGGGACGAACCACCAGACGAGGTGCAACACCAAACTAATTGGTGAGGATACGCGAAGCGTCAAGAACTCCTGAGAGTTCGCCGTAAGAACGACTCAGGGCAGCTCAAGGGGCCACTCAGCCGGACCAGGCCGGACGAAACTCGGGATCGAGCCAGACTCAGCGGTCCTGAGCCGACCCAACAAGAACAGGCCGAGTTTCGACCACGGATACGCCAGCGCAGAACGCCGGACTCGACCTGCCGGGAGCTGCATCCCAGCCGCTTCCCTCGAGGTTAAGAGAAATACTCAAATTAACAGCGCCCCCAGCTCGGTTCAAGCCCCTCGCAGCCGACAGTACATACTGGCACTGCCGACGCCGACTCTCGGTAGGGCACCCCGGGTCACAACAGCGGTGCCCACGACACGCCGCCGAGGGGCACGCATGAGCGCGCCACTGCTGGAAGGAACGGCGGGCCTCCAGACAGTGCCCAAGAAGCCACGCGCTGACGGGCTACCAGTGCCAGCATTTCAGTCAGATTACAGGGCAGTTGTTAATACATTGGATTTTTAATACATGGGATTTCTCATACATGATTAATTCATGAATGAATGTATGCATGAACTCATCTTTGTTTAAATACTAAATCCCTCCATGTTTAATACATGATCCGCACGCGGAGCATGTATTAAAACCAGCACTGTACCCTGACATGTGACGTTGCGCAATCGCAGCATCACAACAGACATCACGACAGGAGCCATCGGTCCCATCTTTCTGCGCCGGATCTCCAGCCGGATCGACCTGGGCGGTTCCTGGGGCCCGAACGCGTGCGAAAACGCCCGCTGTGGCAAACCTGCAACGCCAAGATCTCTGAGGCCTTCTCCCTCCCGAGCATCGCTGTATCGGGGGCGGGGCTATATGTTTTAAGCCAGAGCAGTGTGTCTGGCGCAAGTGGGTCCGCGGGGAGAAGTACGGTAGCATTTGCAATAGTTGGTGCCTAGATGCAACAGCTTGCCTGCTGGATGCACTAGTTGCGCGTGGTTGTAGTTGTGAATATTTCTCACAGGCAATAGATGTCGCCCTCTGCACGCGTACACAATCTAATCTCTGTTCGGTGACAACTACTGGGAGAGCCTTGTCTGTCCTCGAGATTCCGTTTCAAAATGTATGAGCGTGCGCTGGCGTCTAGTCCTCGATAAAGAACCGCTGGCTCCGACTCGTGTCCAGCTACAGTCGGCCCGTATCAGAAGGATGAGCGAAAAGGATGAAAGGACCTTGGACGCCCATTTCGAAGCTTTTAGAGCGGCGCGCGGCCAACGAAAGCGGCCAAGGATGGACCGAGGAGGCAAGGATACAATGATACCACTGGGAAGGGGAATGCCTGTAGTGCGCCGCTCAACGCTCCACCGTCTGCACCAGACCCACAACTCCATCATACCTATGCTTCTTCCCGAAGTATGGCCGCCCCCCGCCTCGCCATCGCTCGGACGTCCATTCCCTGTGTTTTTTTCGGCTTCGTGCGTGTTTTCTTTTTTCGCCAATGATCAAGGATGCTCCTCGATGGCCGTCGCCGGGAAACAAATGCACACGTCCGAGCGATGCCAGGCCGCAGGAAGGCCCCTTCGATGGCCGGCCGACCGCTGGGCGCTGCGGGCGCCCGCGGCGCGTCCAGGCCGGAGAGACGCCGCGCGGCGCCGAGGGGCCGCGCCCGAAGCGGGCACGGACAGCAACTCAGGAGAGCCCAGGATCGAATCCGCCGACCCCTCCTCGGCTCGTGGCACTGTCTCGCCCCTCCCCGAGCAGGCCCCGCCGCCCTCTGGGGAAGCCTCCTCCCTCGCACTTCTCCCCCCTGGGCGCGCCGCCTGGATCATATTCTCGAGTCGTAACTCGGGCATGCGGCGGCCGTTCGGGGCGACGTCCTCCTCCTCCTCCTCCTCCTCCTCCTCCTCCTCCTCCATCCAGGCATCCCCGAAACGCACTCGACGAGGCGCAGCCGCTGGAAAGCATCCCCAGGCCGGAACACCGCACAGAGACTACGAGAACGACCGAAAGCCTCGAACTTCGAATCTCCTAGGGCTCCCAACTTCGCGCTTCGCGCTGCGCGAAGCGCGAATAACTTCGCGCTCTCGCGCCGCCCTCCCAAAGGGAGAATAGGAGGACGAGGAGGAGGGGGAGAAGGAACGAGGACCGCGAAGCGCGAATAACTTCGCGCCCTCGAGGGAGCCCTTGAATCTCGGACTTCCCCCCCCTCTGGGGGGCTGCTAAAGGCGCCCCAGGCCCCAGGTGCCCCCAGCTTTTCGCTCGATGCTGCAGCCCCTGGGGCCCTCTGGGCCTCGTGAGCGGTGCTCTGGGGGCCGTGGTGGGGCGGGGGCTTCCGGCGAAATCCTGGGGGCACCTTGGGCCAAGGGCACTTCTAGCCACACCCGACCCTCGCTCGCCGTAAAACAGGGCTAGGATCGGGATAAATCGCTCCAGAGCGTTCCGGAGCGCTCTCAGAGCCTTCCGGGACGCTCTGGAGCGGCCGCGGCGCCCAATACATCCTCCAAACCCGCCGATTCTCAGAGATTTCGAGTTATCCCGATCCGATTTTGTCCCGATCTTCGCGTCGTTTTGCGCCGCCGATTCCTCCTCCCACCGGCCCGACGTGCGCGGGGCGCCGCGATCGCTGGGCGCGCCGCCCCACCAGCTCTACGGCGCCTGGGGCGGGCGGCCGAAGTGGGGCGGGGAGCGCCGCGGGGGCGGCGGCGGCAGACGGTGCCCCGGACGCATGGTCGTGGCCAGGTGTGGAGAGAAAACGCATACAGTCAACCCATAGAACCAAAGCCCGACGAAAATAAGGAGTACCAGGCTCCCCAAACGGCTCCAACAGGGTGCCCAGACGGGGGGCCCGACGAGCCCTCGGCGACAGAGGCTCCCAGGAAGCCTCAAGATGCCCCCAAGAGGCCACCACGAGCCCCCCAAGAGGCCCCCAGGAAGCCCCAAGAGGCCCCCCCGCCACATTAGAGAACGCATGGGTCGCCCTCCAGGGTCGGCGGCACCGGCCGAAAGGCCTTCGCAATAATGAGTACCCCCTTACAAGTCTGATATTTGATTATCCCTGAGGCGTTTATAGATGATGCTCCACAAGAGGCAGGGAGGCCGCGCTTCACCCATCTCCCCCAAAGATCCGATCGTAGCCCTGATCTTCGATCCAGACACCCCAGCATCGATACCTGCACGGAGAAATCAGATCTTTCCTGGGCCCCAGATTTGTTATCTCTGAGATTATTCTCGCCGGCACAAGATTCGGTAAGGTTGCGCGGGAAGGATGCAAGGGCATTGGATGGCCATGTTGAATTGCTTTCGACCGGGGCGCAGTCGAATACCTAAGAAGGATGCAATAATACCGATGGATGCACGGATGCACTGCAAGGGGCCCCTTGGAAAGTTGCCCATACTTACTATGCGGGTTGACTGCATTGCCACTCGCACTGGCCACAGCATGGCCTCGAAATGTCAGGGGACTCGTCGGCGTCGGCGCCTCTCCCTGGCTTCAGCGCTCGGTGCAGGGGCCGAGGGAGGAGGGACGAGCCGCGGGGCGACTTGGTCAGGATGGCCCGTGATGGGGGGAGCCTGCGCGGTCTGCGTGAGGATAACCATGATACGCATTCATCGACCCCCGGAGTTGCCACTGACTCTCGAGTTAATCCGCCGACCCCTTGGGGATCATCGGCGTGTGAGATGCTTCCCCCTCCCCAAACCCCTCCCCCGGGAGCCCGGTCCGGTCGATTTGGAGGGGGGGGGGGGGTCCGGGACGAGCGCTCCACGGGGCTTTTCCTGGCCCAAGAGGGCTTCAAGACGGGCCACGAAGCCCCCAAGAGGCCTCCAAGACGGCCCACGAAGGCTCCGAGAAGCCAAACGACCGCTCCAAGACGCCCACGATGGCCCCAAGACGGGCCAAGAGGTCTCCAAGACGGCCCCTGAGGTCCCAAATGAGCCTCCCAAGAGGGCCCAAAGAGTCAAAAATTGCTGATTTTCCAGAGTGTTTTTCGATGTTTTTTGCTTTTCCGCCTTTCCGGCTTCCCGACGCTCCAAGACGGGCAAAGAGGCCCCAAAGATAGCCCCAAGATGGCCCAAGAGGCCCCCAAGACGGCCTCCAGACGGCCCAAGACGGCCCCAAGACGGCCCAAGAGGTCCCCAAGACGGCCCAAGAGGGCCGATTTGGAGGGGGGGAGGGGGCCGGGACGAGCGCAGCACGGCCGGGACGAGCGGTTCCAGGGCTTTTCCGGGCCCAAGAGGGCCTCAAGACGGGCCAAGAAGGCTCCAAGAGGCCTCCAAGACGGCCCACGAAGGCTCCGAGACGCCAAACGACCCCTCCAAGACGCCCAAGATGGCCCCAAGACGGGCCAAGAGGTCTCCAAGGCGGCCCCCGAGGTCCCATACAAGTCTCCCAAGAAGGCCCCAAGAGTCTAAAATTGCTGATTTTCCATAGTGTTCTTCGACGTTTTTTGCTTTTCCGCCTTTCCGGCTTCCCAACGCTCCAAGACGCGCGACGAGGCCCCAAAGATAGCCCCAAGATGGCCCAAGAGGCCCCCAAGACGGCCTCCAGACGGCCCAGGACGGCCCCAAGACGGCCCAAGAGGTCCTCAAGACGGCCCAAGAGGGCCGATTTGGAGGCGGGGAGGGGGCCAGGACGAGCGCAGCACGGCCGGGACGAGCGGTTCCAGGGCTTTTCCGGGCCCAAGAGGGCCTCAAGACGGGCCAAGAAGGCTCCAAGAGGCCTCCAAGACGGCCCACGAAGGCTCCGAGACGCCAAACGACCCCTCCAAGACGCCCAAGATGGCCCCAAGATGGGCCAAGAGGTCTCCAAGACGGCCCCCGAGGTCCCAAACAAGCCTCCCTAGAGGGCCCCAAGAGTCTAAAATTGCTGATTTTCCATAGTGTTCTTCGACGTTTTTTGCTTTTCCGCCTTTCCGGCTTCCCAACGCTCCAAGACGCGCGACGAGGCCCCAAAGATAGCCCCAAGATGGCACAACAGGCCCCCAAGACGGCCTCCAGACGGCCCAAGACGGCCCCAACACGGCCCAAGAGGTTCCCAAGACGGCCCAAGAGGGCTCCAAGACGGCACCACGAGGGGCCCAAGAGGGCGACCAAACATGTTGAAACTCTAGCTTTCTGCCCCCAGGAGCCCCAGGGGGCCCCAAGAGTGCCCCAAGAGGCCCCCAGAGGCCCTCACGAGGCCGCCCAGACGCCCCAAGGAACCCCCAAGAAGCACCCCAGAGGCTCCGAAACGGCCCCCGAGTGGCTCCAAAACTCGCAGTGTCGCTGTCCGCTCGGACCTCCCCGCGGAACTGCCCGAGACCCTCTGGCGGTGGCGGCGAACAGACACCAAACAAATATCACTCGCCTTTTCCACCCCTTCGCAGCTTCTACTACCCCCAGATTGGCATAAACAAGGGGTCGGCGGTGTGGCGTAAGCCTAAGAATCAGCTTGTTAATTCCTAGGGGGGGGGCACGCCGAACGATGTCGCTTAGCACCCCATCAAATCCCACCAGCCCTCTGGGCGCAGGTGGCCTCGGGCGTTTCCTCTTCTTACCTACCTTCTGCCCCAGTTCGGGGAGGTTTCCCTTCCCCCCCCCCTCTCCCTGGGCCTGCCTGGTCGGGGGGGGCCAAGAGGTTGGAGCGCCAAAGATCCCCCCAAGAAGCCCCGATCTGCCCAAAAACCGAACGAACACAATAGTGTGTTGCATTATTTTGTTTTGCCTCCGATGGGCCTCTGGGGCGTCAAGATTGACCGCCAATTGCCCATGAGAGCCCCAAGATGAATCCAAAGACGGCCAAAAGAGCACACGTGGGCGCCCCAAAAGGGGGTGTTGAGGGATCTGAGGGGGGGACGCCGATTACAGCCGCCCTCTTTGTTGAGTAATGGGGCCCAAGATGGACCCACGAAACCGCTACGATCCACCCAAAAAAACGAAAACCCCTCAAGGACCCTCAGAGAGCCCGAAGAGGGCCAAAACGGCTTCTGAAATTGTTCCGTGATCGCTTCAGGGTCTCTCCAAGAGGCCTCCAAAAGGCTCGAGGAGCGAATGATCCGCGAAGCTTGTTCCTGGCCCATCTCGGGGCGGCTCGGGGGGCTCTTGCGCCTGTCGCCCGACAATTTGGAGGTCCATGTGCAAATTGTCTGGTCCAAGATGTACCTTTTCCTGCACATCATCTTCGGCACCGCCTGATCCCAGGGCTTCGCCCTCTCCCGGCCGCCGTGAGACCCCGCCTTCTTTCGCCCTTTCTCTGCTGATTAAAACTGTGCGCGTCCCGCTTAGCTTTCAGCGGAAGAGGCTCGCTCTCGCCCCGCAGATCAAAAAATGTGCAAATTGTCTGGCGGGGGCCGTGTCCCTCCTCCCGCAAACTCCTCCACCTCTTCCGCCCTTCCTCTTTTGACTGGGCCGCGAGACTGCACGCGCACTTTCGCCCTCTGCGCCTGCTCCGGCTGAGTCAAAACTGCGAGTTGATGGTTCCCTGAGCTACAGTATGCATTCCGCTCCCCCGCTCCACCGTTCAGAGCAACTCGCACGGGCATCGTTCAGGATGGGCTGGTTGGGATGCGCGAAGCGTCAAGAGTTCATCGATTCAATAATTCTGAGGGGGGGCGATAAGAGTGAGAGGAGTAAGACAGCACAAGCGAGGCCGAAAGACAGCACCTTCCGAGGCAAGACCCCCCGCCGACAGTCAGAATCCCCGAGACGTTCCAATCCGATTAGGGCCTTGCTGGGGCCCTGTTCGGATCTTGATGGGATCCCGCGCTCAGGGGTCCAGGGGCGGTACATCACTCCTCCGGAGGGGGCGAGAGGCGGTATAGGTTCGCCGAGGATGTAGCGGGTGAAAGCATTTCAGGGTTCGGAGTACGAGGGGAAGCCAAAATGAGAACGCCACGGGGAAGACGAAGCGCGCGAGGATCTTCAGCAGGACCCCGAGATGAGATGCCCAGAGTCAGGGTGCCACGGAGGAACCTCTCGTAAACCCAAGCCTAGGCTGCACATCTTACTGCGCCCCAACAGCGGGTCTTCGGCGAGATGGCATAGCGACGTTACGCGGCGGCTTACGCGGGCCGCCAGCCCGGCACGCTACACTGGGGACGAGGGCGCTTACGCGCTCGCTTACGCGGGTAGCTTACGCGCCAGGAGGAGAAGGAAGAAGAAGAGGAGGAGGAGGAGGAGGCATGCAGGCGCAGACGACCTCGTTCGTTTGCGTCGCGCATGTGGTAATTAGTCGTCAGGGATCAACACCTGACGAGCTGAGACAGACGGCCTCTCTCGTCCTGCTGCACAAAGTCTGGGGGCTGGCGCCGCACCCTTGAAGATTGAGCCTCTGTACGGTGGGTTCGTGCGGCGTTGGCGCGCGTGAAGGTTTTTGACACCGCGTCGATCGTGCAACCTTGAAACGATCGTGGCCCCGATCGTTCAAGATTGAATTCCGTCGGGTCCAGTAGCGTTACTGTCTCCCTCGGTGCTTCCGTGTCAACGGCTTCAACCTTGAACGCCTTCGCCGGCGTCGCCGGTGCGCCAACGCGCATGAACCTACCGTTAAGGCAACTGGTGGCCCTGTGCGGCCAGGAAACACACTTTCGGAAACAGGGGGGAAGAGGACGAGCAGGAGGGCGCGAGGAGGGGCAACGGGAGGGCTCGGAGAGGGGGGAGGGAAGAGTCACGGTGGAAGGAAGGGGCGGGAGGGCTGCAGGGGGGGGGGAGGGGGGGGGGGAATGCCGAGGGAGAGGAGGAAGGGGGAGGGGCCAGGAAGTCGCCTATGGGGGGGGAACCCGAGGCCGCACCGACGACGAGGCAGCACCCGACCCGAGGGATGGCCGCCGCCCTCCCCCGCCCCCCGAGGCCGAAGATGGCAGCAGAGGCGGCGCCCCTGTCCGCG